AATATAGTCATCTAGAGGGCAGGGGCTTCATTATTGCTCCACAGAACTTAACACTTAACCTTTATTGCTAATTACTGATTTACTTTTGCAGTCCAATAGAAATATTTTGGAATGTTCCTGATTTGGGGCCAGTATCAAACATAGTAACTATATCATGGTTTTACATACATGGCTTTGGCTACAAGGAAACAGATTCCCATCATACCCAGTATGCTGTTTGCTAGATTGAAACACATTACACATCTTCCCCAATTATCTTTGTTTAAAAAAAACGTTTTGTAAGGAATCTGGGAAAATCAAAACATACTAAAATAATTACTGGATCTCAAAGTGAGGTCTTCAGACTATTTGATTGAGAAAATCTCGAAAGGTGTTAAAAATGGGTCCAATCTCAGACCTATTAATTCAGAAATGTGCAGAAAGGCTCTAAGCAATCTGGGTTTTTAAAAAGCCTTCCAGATGATTTTTATGCCCTCTAAAGTTTAAGGACTGCTTTTTTATGGGATGTAATACTCTAGCAAGGATTGCTCTTTAAGTTAGAGAAGAAAAGTTATTTTAGTCCTTAAAAACAAGCCATCATCATTTGGAGTTCAAAATATCAATCATCTTTTAAATGTATCTTGAATCTATCATGGTAGTGGTAAGTGCTCAGCACTGTCATTTTGCCATTTGGAGCTCTCCAGCATTTAAACAGAACTGGTAAACTAATGATAGGTATTAAAAGTCTGTCTGGTGGATCATTAAAATAGTAAATGAGTTACTGAAATTTATACAGGCCATACAAAATTTAAAACTTAGATTATCTGAAGTAGAATGTTCTGCTGTGTACTAATGTTGCTATCCAGGATTGGTCTGGAAACCTAAGCCTCTTTGGAATTTCTGGGGGGAAAAAGCATCACTACCTAAAGCTCCCTTCCCCTGTTCATTGGGTGGTCCCCGAGATTTTTGACTCCTTGGTGAAAGGTGTGCTGTTCTGGAAGTCAGGATGTATCTGTTACATATTTTATGTTCTGTGTGTCCTCATGAATAAAACAATGGTTTGGACCATTGGATGGTCTCCAATGCCCTTCTAAACCCAAGTTTTTATTATCATTCTGAGGTTCAGATTTCTCTGTTGTAAAGTATGGGGGTTGGACCATGTTCAGTGTGTCTGCTTGTCCTGTGTGTCCCAGGGTTGTCCTGCCGTCTCTGTTGCTATACTTGGATCCCCATTCATAATTCAGGCTCACTGTAACAGTGTAAGATTGGTGATACTTCATTTAGGTTTTCCCAGGGATGGGACGATATATTGGCCATTAGCACATGTCCTTTGTAGGAAATAATTATTCATTATAGAATTATAATCATATAATTCATAATTATTCAACATATACTAATTGATCATCAACTATGTGCTCTGTGTCACTGTGGTAGACCTTGGGAATACAATAATGGAAAAAGTCAGACAAGAGGAGCTCTGGTCTCACATGGCTTACAGTCTGATGGTGGGAATGATGGAGGAGAAGATAAAAACACCAACCACATATATGCTGATGTGTAAATAAAGTAAGTGCAGTTGGTCATCAGTGTTAGAAGGGATCACTAGGCCTGAGCTAGAAAACAACAGAAGAGTATTTAGGAAAAGTCTCTTGGAGGAGGTGATATATACTTGGACCCACAGGAAGGAAAAAAGACCAAGGAGGGGGTTGGAGAAAAGGTCAGGGCAGGGAAGAATATTCTGGAAGCCCGTGGGAGGAATAGTTTAATGTGGTTGGCATCTAAATATCCTTTCCATCTCTGAGAGATCATTTAATCCAAAACTAGAGAAAGGAAATCAAAGGCCCAGAGGGTTTAAGGTCAAATGGCCAGATAGTGGGAGAACTCTTCCATGCCTTAGTCTAGAACATAAGCCCTTCTTAGGGATCAGGCTCACAATGCAGCAGTAAGTACCACAATGCTTTGCTTCAAATCCTGGCTCTTTGCTTGTCCTTGGGGACCAGAGCTTCTTTGAGACTCAGTTTTCTTTTGTGTGAAATATGGATGACATTTGCTGCATCAGGGACTTAATGAGATAAGGTGGCGCAGTGCCTGATGTATCATAGCTGCCTGATAAATGCAAACTCTTTTGATTTTTCACCTAGTGCACTTTCACCCATACCAAGCTGTTGGAAAATAAGTAGGGCAGAGGTTAAGTTACTTGGATAAAGGAAGAGTGCTGGCAGAGGAGAAGTTCTGGAATACTGGGCTGGGGCCTGTTTAGCGGCTGTCCATCTGAGAGCTGAGTGGAGAAAATGAGAAGAAAAGGCCACTGAAGGTGGGAAGATGTCAAGGAAAGACATTCCCAACTTCATGGTTTTGCTCAGAGCTTAATCTGTTAGTGGTGAATCTAGAGTTGTCTTCATAAGACAGCGAAGACCATCCATAGTAATATTTATACTTAAAATTAGCATGTAAGAAGCAGATTTTACTTTAGGAAACCAGTAAGCAGAAAAACGACGTACTTTATTATTAAATACATGTAAAGAGAAAAATATGATGTTATCATGTCACTCAATCCACTGGGAACAAATTAATCTAATTATCTGCAGGATATTAAAATAATTGCTCATATTAAGGATGCTTAAAAACCAAGCCCATGGTATTGGAAGAATGAATAATTTATCCAAGTAACTATAAAGATTTTCTTCATTATGGACAAAACCACAGATTGAACTTCAGCCTTAAAATATGGAGAGGCATATTTCGTGGATTAAAGTGGACTATCTATAAGGCCACAAAATCTGTTTGCTCTCTCCTTAGAATTCCCCAAAACATAAGGGAATATTTATGGTTCAGGCACACTCAAACCAGGGCTGAATATTTCTTAGTTTCAGAAGTTCACTGGGTCCCTTTCCCCCCAGCCATAAGGTAAGTGCCATTCCATATATAACTTTTTGAAATGCTGCTTACTTTATGATTCTCTGCCGATGGTGCCTTATGGGAGAAATTTTATTTCAAAGTTTCATAGGATGTGAATTGAACTCATTATTTTACTCCAAACTCATTGTTTAATTGACAGGAAACATGCATTCTAAATCATCTTGTATGCATGGCAGAAGCAGCTACATAAATTTAACAATGGGTGGATTATTACTATTTTGCATATTTATGGAATTTTATATTCAGGAAGCATTTTACAAATCTTTTATTAGTTAATCCTTACACTTACGAGTGAGTCTGACAGGTGGTAAACAATGCTTTGGGTTTTAAATTGCCAATTCGTGAAAACTTTAATGGGGAAAAAAATCTACAGCATTCTTCCTTGCTCCCAAACTTGCCAAGAGCACATTTTTGATACTTTTTTCCTCTCACCAGGGACCAAGGCTAGAGGCCTGGAAGCAGGTTCGTGCCCACCAGAAACACAGTATTACAAAAAGGGTACATACTGGGCTCTGTCTGGGGTCAGGTGGCCAACACCAGGGGAAACCTCACAGACACCAAGGTGATTATTGACAGCGTTCCCAACAAAGCTGCATCCCAGTAATAGAGACATAGAAAAACACGTAAGGAAGCAATTTTTCTAGAACTACACAGTAAACTTGGTTTTTAGTTCTAATGAGGCCATACCTACTGGACTCACTATGTAATGCCATCATCAGTTCTCTTAAGATGAATGCATGTATATTAAAAGAATAAACCTAACTCAAACTAAAAGAGTGTATTTCCTTTTTTCAAAAAGTCACAAGTTAAAAACGCTAAGCTCCTTTGAACACTCACTTCAGACTTTTCGGATCCTCCAATCTGCCCCTCCTCCAGATACCAGAGATGTTGGAGAGCAGGGCACGAAAGCCTCCGTGGATCAGTCTCATTGTTGACCCAAACCTTTTACAGCCTGGGGCTTTCAGAGCTAACAAACCAAGAAAAATCAATCACACATCACCTGAGGGCTGGACACGAGGAGCCACAGATGCTGCACCTACTTTCTGAAGACTCCAGCTTGGACATGTCCTGTCCAGATTCTAATCTCTTCTGACTGACAGTGACTCTATCCCTCTAATCCCTCAGGCCCCCAATTCCGCCTGCCTGCGGGGGGCGGAGGGGGGTGGGAAGAGAGAGAGAGAGAGAGAGAGAGAGAGCGCGAGCGAGTGTGTGTGTGTGTGTGTGTGTGTGTTGGACAGTTAGGTTGGAGGGTGCAGAAAACACCCGAAGTATCTCGGAAGCTAGCACCCTCTGGGGCCCTGTGCTTTCTCAGTGCAGCTGGCCAGCTGTCAGGAGGTCAGCGTAAGGTAACCGGGTCACCCCCACCCCTGCCCCTTTCAGAGGTGCAAAAGGATGCTCCAAGCCCTCGCGTCTGCGGATAATATGGGTGCGCACACAGGGGGACCTTCTGAGTAACACCTCCCACCCAGGAGCGTCCCTCATCCCCCACCCCCACCCCGGACGCGTCCCCGCCCCGCCCTTGCCGACTCTACCTGCGGACGCTGGAGGCGCGGCGGCGACTGCTGGCGGTGCTGCCGGCGGCCGCTCTGGCTATGTAAGGCCGCCTGACCCCACCCTCTCCCACCTCGGGCGCCCCCCGCCCTCCAGCCACCGCCCGGCTAGGTCACCTCGCTGCGGCCCGCCACCGCCTCTCCGCGGGGCGGGGGCTGCGGGGCCCTCCCCACTCTCGCGGCCTGCTGAGACTTTCGGGCGTGGCCCTGGGCCGCCCCCGTCCCCCCGCCCCCCCCGCGGCCCCCCGGGTGCCGCGCCCCCCCCCCCCAGGGCCCCCTCCCCCCCAGCCCTTGCCAGCCCAAGTGCGTGTGGCCCCGCCCTTGTCTGTGCAGGGCCGGAGGGACCTCGCCCCAGTGTCGGCGTCCCCACGACCCACCTCTGGGACTCTCGTGGGGCGCCCGCCAGCAGGGGGGCGACTCCTTCTACCAATGGAGGCCAAGTCTGGGGAAAGTTTCTGGCGGTGTCAAGGGTCAGCCTTTTCTTGTAGGGACGTTCTCTAGCAAAGAGATAGAAACCCAGGCGATTCTATCTGCGGTTTCTGCTGACATCACAAACCACACATCACTCGGTGTCGTGTTGGGTAGTTTACACAAAGAGTCTCTATCATTACTGCAGCCGCCTGCACGTTCCCCTTTCAAAACCCCAACCGAGTGACATTTCAGCAGAACGGTTAAAGGAACTTAATTTTTAAATAAAAAGTTACTGCTGGAAACCAGTACATTACATACTAGCTCTGCCCCAAGTTCCAAGTATGGTCACGTCTGAATAATTCCAACCTTTTAGTGACGGGGATTATATAGGCCAGTCACTACTTTACACCCCCAAATCTCCACAACTTTTTCTATCTTTAGTCTTCAGTCTATTTACCTCGCTATATGGAGGAGTGGTGAAAATGAAATGCAACAAAAACAATTTGAATAGCTTTTAACAGCTGGTATAAAAGTTTATGGCAGACACAGCCTGCAATCATTGAAAATAAGATTTGAAAATTATCTGTAGACCTCACTCTTCAGTTTTGCCGTTTTGCTTGAGTTTGAATTACAGAAGGTTGGTGGTATGTATTATTTTTAGCAGAAATACTTTTCTAAGAATTATTAAACAGATTAAATGTATAATATGGTTATGATATCAGATCAGGGTAAAACTCCATTTACAGAAGAATGTGTTAACCACCTGATAGGAGACACGTCCTTTTGGTGTAGTACAATTGGTTGTGTCTTAGAATTTAAATACTAGAAAAAGGTAACTTAGAAAACATTACAGAATCTTTATAGTCCTACCTGCCATCTAATGAGAATACTGCCTTCTTAGCACCCTATTTCTTTCAATTGCTACTTATAAGATGTAATTTCAAGATTGCTCAAAGCTTATGGATATTTGTTCATAAGTATTTAATGAGGTCTCAAAAACTGCCTGGCATTGACCTTGGTGCAGGTGATGTAAGAGTGAACTAGATAGAGAGATGTAAGTCCTCCCTTCCAGGAGCTCACATTCTAATGGGGGAGAGATAGCTACTAAATAGACAAGTGCAGACATAATTAATGCACCTATGAAAAGTTGTATGTGGAAGTATGGAGTGCTAGGAGAGGACACCCTCCAAATGGTCTTTTAGATTGCTATTTTGTTTTGAACCCTAGAATTATTGCAATGCTGCAAAGATTTTTTTTTTTTGCTATCCTTTCTTTCATATCTCATATTCAGTTCATCAGGAAATCCTGATAGCTCCAGCTTCAAAATGTTTTCCAAGTCTAACCCCAACTACCCCTCTTCCAAACCAGCAGTGCCCATTTGGATTTCTGAAAAAGGCTCTGAACTTGTCTTACTGCTCTTAATCTTGCCCCTATGGTCTATTATCCATGTAGAATTTTGGATGACCCTTTAAAAGTGTGTGTATTAGCTCATGCCAATCCTCTGCTCAAAAAGCACCCCATGGCTTCCCATCACTCAGTCACTTTCCATGGTGACAGTTCAAACTTGACCTTAGCCACCAAGGCCTTACATGTCTGCCACCCCACCTCTCTTTACCTCTTTCTCCATCACTGTCCCCTCCCCAGTCCTGCCACCCTCACTGGCCTTTCTGCTGTTCTTTCATCCCTTAGGCTCCTGCATCTTGGTCGTTGAGCCTGAGACACTTTCTCTAAATATTTAGAGGCTTGCTCCTCCGTAACATCAGATATTTTCTCCCTTGTCCTCATGTCAGAGAGGTAATCCCTGACCACCTATTCTAATATAATATACATGTGCACACATGCATGTGCATGCACACACACACATACACATGCATACATTTATTGTTTGCTGTGTCTCCTCTAAAATGAGAACAACAATGGTTATAGTGTCATGCACATAGAAGACAAAACATAAATATTTGTTGAAAGAAAGCATATAAATTATGTAGTGGACTGAATGTCTCCCCAAAATTCCTATGTTGAAGCTCTAACCTCCAGCGTGACCATATTTGGAAATAAGGTCTTTATGGAAGTAATTAAGGTTAATGAGGTTATAATTGAAGGGCCCTGATCTGATAGGATTAGTGTCTTCATAAGAAGAGACACTGGAGAGCTCGCTCTAGTACTTAGGAAAGGCCATATGAACACACAGTGAGATGGCAATGGTCTGCAAACCAGGAAGAGAATTCTTACCAGGAACTAAGCCCACAGGCAACTTGATCTTGGACTCCCCAAATTCTAGAACTGTGAGAAACATATTTCTGTTGTTTAAGTCATCCCATCTATGGTATTTTGTTATGGCAGCGTCAGCAGACTAAGACAAATTATGAAGAATGTTAAAGAAAGAGTTTAGATACCATCTACACTCATACATTATATTATATATTATAGCTAATCATTTCAAGATTACTAATGCACAAAATGGTGTGATGGTGTAACTTTTAGCCAATGAACAAACTTTGGAGCACCTCCAAGGATCATTGAGGTTTGAAGATTAATCTTACCTGGACACAAGAATAGAGTTAAGTATTTAACACAAACAAATGCCTTTTATAACTTTGTTGTTGTTTGTTTCTGAGGGCATGAATGACTGAAGCTCGAAGGAATAAGAATGGTCTAGTCACTATCGTGAAAAGTGCTGTTTCAAGAGAGTACAGCCTCTAAACTCCATAAAAGTTTCCTACTGGTCAAGCTGAAGGACTCTTAAGCTGTGGTGTGCCTAGAACATAATCATGGCCCATTGATATTCAAGTAAAGTAGCAGATGCTTCAGGTAACAGCTCTCCTTATGTACTACAACTGCTTATACACTTTATCTCCAAAATAGGCTGTGGGGAGTAAACTTTGAACTTCTGTTTATGTTTTTTTTTTTTAATTTCATAAAACCTAAGCTCTTGCAAGTGTACAATATGCAGATTGATACTGGCCTCCCAGTTGCCCATAGGTCCCTTGGTCTCCTGTCCTCCCTCACAGAGGAATCTTGAAGAAATACTGGGAAATCCATAGTGTGGAGCAGCTAACATGTGATTCCTGCTCTTCTTTCAATTACATTGTGTTGCGTCTTACTGATTTTATGTTTGTTCATTTAAGGAATTAAGGATTCTATTATTCAGTATTAACTAAACCAGCAGTTACAAAATAGAAAAGTGGCTTCAAAGGATTTTTGTAAAGAAGATAATACTAATAATACAAGCATAAGCAAACAGGAAATTGGTAGAATTGAAGCTTCTCTGACTGCAGTAAGAATTCTTTGACATAATGGGAGGTTAACAAAGTTGATGATTTGCTTAATTCAGTCTACCAAGAAATCAGCTTCTCTCTTTCATTGAAATGATCAAGAAGGCCTATGAAATATGGATTTAAATCTAATTCTGTTAACAATGAGCCTTGCCTTAAGTATATATTATACTTTGAGTCATAGGCTAATGATAAAATGAAGCACCGTGACTAGCATAAAATAAATATCTAGTTCATCATTAAGTGATTTTTAACACTTTTATTTATGTATATATTTCATAATGTATATTGGCATATGCAATAAGTGATCTGGTTAATAAATTAATAAATGAATAAATATTGGGAATATATACTGAACATTTTAACCGATGGACTGTCTATCAAAAGTGTTTGCGAATACTGATTTACATAACCAGGGGTAAAATAATTCATTAGAACCCAAAACCCTGCTCCTGAAAGAAAAAAGTGAATAAAACCAACTAATTAATCAGAAAATACCTATTCAGGGTATATCCAGTACCTTTTTTTTTATATCTTTCTTCTGTTTTCTCTTTTGATCATTCCACAGTTTCAAGGGAAATAAGAGGAGAAGAAGCCCTGTTAATTTACTATGGTATTTGGCAGCAGAAATTAAACTTGCCAAATAAAAGTAACTTGGGGTCTACTTTGGAGTGTTGGCTTACCTTGTTATTCTAGTTTTGAATTACAATAGCTTATAATAGTATGACTTTATATTCACCTGTCTTCTTTAAATTAGTTGACTTTTCTCTTAGAATGGAATGTACCCACAGAGTCTGGGATTTGAAATAATATGAAAACCCAGTCAAACTCTTCTGACTGTTCACCCATAAGAAAGGTTTTCCCTGTTTTTTGCAAGCTCTTGAAAACTTCTCTTCTCCCTACTCTAAGACTTACCGTGTTTATCTGCAGGATAAATTTATAATTTTTCAGTTATTGAGCCACAACATTGTGTAACAATTGGTATCAGCATATTGTTACTAGAAGGACTTTCTGTTTAGTTCTGTTTTCTTAGATGAGTATCATTACACTATAACGTTTGGAGAGTCAGGGGAGGCTGGACTACAGTTCATTGTGTGAAAAAAGCAGCTGAGGCTTGGAATACCACAGGGCCTGCCTGCGGTCAAAGCTCTGAACCTTCTGACTTCTCATTCTGAGTACTTTTCGTTGTGATATGCTACCGCAGAATGCGCTGGGTGAGAATGTTGTTTTTCTTTCCAAGTATGAGTTAGAGAAAGTAGGACACGTTGGACGATTCCTCACTGTATCCATACACACATGTGTCTGGCAGCCCAGGGTGTTTTAGTTCCTCCAAAAACCCCTACCGCAAAGGGTGCCCACGAAGGTGAAGAGATCATTCTTTCCTAGAGATTTATTTTGCGATTAATAAAGGGTGACATGAGGCCTTAGAGATTATTTTATTTTTATATTATTTATTTTCTTTTTCTCCTTGGGGTCTCAGAATTTAACTCAGCACTAAACCACTGCCAGCTCCTGTTTTCCTAATTAGAACTTTAACCTTCACAAAATAATATTATTTTGGTAATATAGTCTTAATGAAAAATAGTAATAGAAATATCAGTAAGACACAGGAGGGCAGAATACTTTAAACTAGTTGGTGGGGATTATTGGTTACTACTTAGCAATAATATCTAATAGTTTGGTAGAAAATTTTTGAGAGTGATGGAAACCTAATTTCCTGAGGTACGTAAAATAGGACCAAATAAAATAGTGAAGAGTGTATTGTAAAGATAATCTAGTTGCCCAGATGGGCTTTCCTTAGTTACAGCTTTTATGGCTCTTGAAATGTGTGTGTTCTTTATTCTTTTATGAGAAAGTAAAGATTTTCTTTTTCCCAGGGGCAAGAAGTTACCCTGCAGTTTAGTTGTTAAAATACGCTGAATATTTTTTCTTTGTTACTTCTAGGGCACTTATATTTATTCTGGAACACACCTTAGTTCTTGTGTTTTCCCCCAACATTTGAATTTCTGGCTCTAGACTCCAGATTTTAATCTTGTTAGTTGTATTTCTCATGATATTCCTGATAAGCTAGTTAATATTAGATTTTATGGCATGGATTAAAGTAAGAAAATGCTATAATTTCATAATCTTATCTAACTTGGATATTTCCCCCCTCCCAAACTTTGAAAGTTGCAGTAGGGTGGAATATTTCTGAAAGGAATTTGGAAATTTATCTGTAGTCCTACAATTGTGACTTGTAAATTCTATAACCAAATTCCATGGATTGTGAACAAATTTTATTTAATTTTCTTATTAACAAAGTCTCGAATTTTTAAAGTTTATATTTTTACAGTACTATGCCTTTTGGGCTTTATTACAAAAGATAACATTGGATGGTAAAATATATCTCTGTAATGTCTGTCCAGATGGATTTTGTACAGGTGGCACCATATTTTCTCCTTCCATAAAAGAAGACAAGTCCTTGATTGGAGGATTCTGTATGTTTCTTTCTCAATATGCTGTGCTTAATAAAATTATTTGATGGTGGTAGTGTTATCCATCTTTCACCTATAACATGCTTTGTGGGGAGAAACAGTAGAGCCTGGAATTTTGAAACCATTACTTTACAATGCCAATACAAGAGAGGATATTTCACCTTGGGAGGACATCTCCAACCTGAAGAGATGACACTCCTAAGTATAACTAAATATTAGTAAATTAAAATCTGACCTTGAATTTCCCACGAACTCCATATTTCCTGGGATAGAACTGATTGCAGATGATGCAGAAAATCCATTTGCTTTTAGAGTTTTTGTGCTTTGGCCTTTTAGAGTACCTTATGCAGGCATGTCTTTCTAGTGTCTCCATATTCATTGTTAAAACTGATGCATTATCTGTGCTTTAAAAAATTATGTGGTAATCGTGGCACTTCCTCCTTCCGATGTGGCTCCTGTTGCATGTGGAATTCAGCTCTCTTAGCCTTGGCAGCGAGGCCCCGTAGGACCTGGCCATGCCTACCTTTTTCGTCTCTTCTACATATCTTCCCCTGGGTCACTAACACCTCAGTAACACCAGACACCCTTCTGTTTCTTGAAGACAGCACACTCATTCCTGACCCTGTACCTATGAATGGGATGTTCCTCAGTCTGGAATGTTTCTAGCCCAGATTTTCAAATGATTGGCTCCTTTTCAATATTCCTCTCCTCCTCTCATCTAATGTTGCCACCCACCCTTCTAGTCCTTCTTCATTACTTTATTTTTTTTTCTTCATAGCACTTATCGCTTCCAGAAATGATATTATCTATTTGCTTGCAACTTTATGATATGATCTCAATTAGAATGCGCAGAACCTGGAACGTACTAGGTGCTCAGTTATACACACACACACACACTTTAGAGAGTGTGTGTGAGCAGGGAAGAGGGGAGAGGGAGTGTGAACAAGGGAGAGGGGCAGAGAGAGAGAGAGAGAGAGAGAGAGAGAGAGAGAGAGAGAGAATCTCAAGCAGGCTCCATGCTCAATGTGGAGCCCAATGTGGGGCTCTATCTTACGACCCTGGGATCATGACCTGAGGTGAAATCAAGAGTCTGACACAACCAACTAAACCACCCAGGAATCCTGTCAGTAAATATTTATTTTTAATGAAAATATGGAAGCAGCAATAGTTTAAGCTAAAAGGGTAGGATTGAGATCTGTGATTAAATTCTGGCCTCTTGCTGAATAACCTTTCTCCAGTTCGTTGGTTGCTTTAATCATAATACGGTGATAAAAATACTGATCAGTGAAGACTGTTGTGGGGATTAGTTGAGGTGATGTATACAAGGTGCTTATCATATGCCTAACACATGACAATTGCTCACTAAATAGTAGCTATAATAGTTTTTCCTTCAGATGGGAAAAGAACAGGGTGGGCTAGATGCCAAGTACACTCTGAGCTCTAAAGTATGCCAGAGGTAAAAAGCCAGGAAGAAAATTCTTTGATTAAAATCAAAAGCACAAACCTACAAAGTTCAGAATTTGGGTAGAGCAGGTGGGAGCAAGAAGCAAGGAAGAAACAAAGGTAGAAGGCTTAAGACAATTGCCACCAAAGCGATGGATCAGAGTGCCCTGAGCCCATTTTTATTGGAAGGATTGTACATGGACAATCCTATTTGGCTTAAAACCCCAGGAACAAGTCTAGAAACAGATTGTCTTAGTAGCTGGACCCTATATTACTTTGTTGGTTAAAATTTGAAACTATTTTGGATATTTTATGTATCCTGTCTGAAATAATTGAAAGAAGCCCAGTTTGATTATTCTGTAAACTATCCTCTTATATTTATTATCTTTCTAATTTCATTCTGAAACTTGAAGGTCAGATAAACCTAACTTAATCACTTGATGGTAGTTGGTCCTAACAATATAGGCGCTAGCAAATAATGGGCAAACAAAGCCCTATTGAAAACAATTTAATCTTTGATTTTTTTTGTTTGTTTTTTAATGTTTATTTTTGAGAGAAAGAGAGAGAGAGAAAGAACAAGTGGGAGAGGGGCAGAGATACAGGGAGACACAGAATTTGA